AGCTGGAACGTTAAAATGAATTTTATGTTCGGATATGAACTACTTTAATGTTAAGGACAATAGTTTTTCTTGTTTATCTTGATAATGACCCTAATGGCTATGATAAATTACAAAATGACGTTTATATTCTTTAATACTAAAGATTCTATAATGAGTATAGAAATTATAAGGCATAAATACGATAATCTAATTATTACCAAAATCTGGTATGACAGACTTTGTCATATAGATGAAATGCAATTCTAAAGTTACATTAAGATATATACTCGAGATTAATTGATTTTGACAAGTACAAATTATGCATGTCTGGCATAATGACCAAATCTTCTTTTACTTGAAAAGAAGAAAGGTCAGTATAATTACTGGTCTAATGCATAGTGATGCATATGGATTCATGTCAATTGATGTCAGATAATGTTTCTCTTATTTCATTAATGATCATGAATACTTGATGAAACTCGAATATGAAACTCTTGAAAAGTTCAAGGGATTCAAACTAGAAGTAGAGAAACAAATATATAAAGATATCCTCACATTAAGATTCGATCGAGTGAGAATTTCTTGAAGATAACATTTAGATTATCTAAGAGAGAATGAAATTCTCTTGCAGTGAACTCCTCCATATACACTGCAGCATAGTAGTGTATCTGAAAGGAGAAATCGTTAACTATTAGATATAGTGTGATTAATAACAAGCCGTGCAAATTTTTCAAAATTGTTTTTGGGTCATGCATTGATTGCAGTGTGCAACACAATAAATCATGTTCCATCTAAATTGGTTAACAGAACTCCATACGAGTTATAGAAAGGCAATAGTCTCAATTTATCTTATATGAAAGCTTAGGGTCATGACACTTATTTGAAGCGCCTTGAATCGGATAAGTTTGACACTAAATCTGATAAATACGTATTTGTGGGGATATTCAAATGAGACATTTGAATATAAATTCTATTATCACGAAGAAAGTCTTCGTCTCACGACATATCATCTTCTTAGAGGACAGTGGGAGTAAAATAGAACTTGAAAGAGTTCAAGAGTCCACAGATATAGTTAACCAAGTAGATAAATCTGAGTTTGATCCCATATCTGATATGGGACATACTCTTGATTAGGAAGTAAAGACTCCTGAGGACATGTCAGCTCTATGTGAATCTAGTAGGATCATTCGACCTTCAAGAAGGTGCGAATCCATGATTACTAATCAGGTATTACTGATTGAGGATAATAAACCTGCTAGTTGCACCAAAATAACGTCAAGTGTTGCCTTAAAAGAGACAGCAAGAGGCCATGAGACTCGAGATGAACTCGACGTATGTGAACAAGGTTTGGACCTTGGTCAAGCCTCCTAATGGAATAAAACCCATAAGTTTTTGTAAATAGTTTACAAGGAAAAGGTTGATATGGATGTAAATATCCATATATACAAAGCAAGGCTAGAAGCAAAGGTTAAGTGTTGATTTTGGTTAAACCTTTCTCCTGTAGCTTTGCTTAAGTCTATTCGGGTTTTGCTTGCAACAGTTGCATACCGTAACTATATGTTAAGAGAAGTCTCTTAGAGCTGAAATCTTAGATTTGATGAGAAAGTCAAAGTGTTTGATTTTATCAAATTTGAAGACCAATTGTGTGTTTACAAGAAGATAGGGGAGCATTGTCGTATTGCTAACATTATAGAAAACGACATCCTTATATTTCAATCGTTAAATAATAGTTGTTAAAGGATTTATTCTTGAACGATATGGGAGAAGCAACTTGATCTATAGAGATAGATCTAGAAGGTTGCTTAACTCGTCCCAATCTATATAAAATCTTGAGAAAATTTCATATAGAGAAACTGGTTTACTCTTAAGCGATATGTTGGAAAGGTTTCAAACGTGAAACAACCGTTGATTCAATAGTAGAAACCTAATACATGATTACTTCAGAAGTAGCAAAGAGTTGAAATCTGAATCATCATGTTCATAAATGAACTTGGAGTAGTTCCCGATATTGTTGATCACATGCCATTGTATTGTGATAACAATCGAGCCATTGCAAAAGCGAAGGAACTAAGGTCTCATCAATGATCCAAAAATGTATTAAGGCGGTATAATCTTATCAGAGAGATAATACATAGAAATGACGTAAAGAGAAGAACAAATTTCCACATTTAAAAATATTGTAGATCCACTGACAAAGAGTTGTCGTAGCATAAACATGATCGTCATGTAGACTTATGATATTGGATACATATGTGTCTGGATCTAGTGCAAGTGGGAGTTTGTAAGTATTATACCCTAGGTCCAATCAACTTTGGACATAAATATTTTTGATATATATATATATATATATAATTAATGCAATTTATTGACAGATCTATTATTTAATTAATAGACAATTAAATAAATAATAGAGTCCATAGATTCAAATCTTCGTAATTTGTTAATCATAAGGAGTTGTGATTGTGAGATACAAATTACATCTGATTGAATCTTAAATCGTTCGTGGTCAGAAATAATAACGAGATACGGATATCGGTATTATGGATAGACCATCACGTGTGGCATTTCTTACTTATGAAGTAAGTAGCTGATCTCACAAGTTAAAGTATGGTGACACTTAAATGAACACGTGGATGTTTTGTTATAGAACAAAACATTGGAGACCCGTCGAGAGATTCCACATGGATAACTATCTGAGTGTCAGTGGTTAATCTCTAACGTTTGGTAGTGGAATTGGTTTTTTGACTTGAGGTCGTCATGATACCTTATATCAGGATAATCATACTATGGCGATGTTGGATGTTGCTCTATAAAGGGCCGCAAATACGACATCGTTCGGATACGTTAAGAATCGTATGAAGGTTGTGATTGATCAATAAAGGATTCGTCACTCTTAGATAGCAGGAGATTATGATCTGCGTTTCATTCAATTAAGTCGATGATGGAATCCTTGGCCAAGGTATACTCATAAGTCGAAAAAGAGTTTTCGACTTATATTAACTTAATAGTAGAGTAAAAGATATGATCGATGATCGAGATTGACACACTTCCATATCTCGTAATTGATCAGATCATATTGACGAAGGGATTATAGTTTCATGGTAAACGAATGAGTTTGGTTTTGTCATACCATGTGACATTTCCCGTCACATGTATTGCCCTGACACATTGCTAGATGTCAATCTGGGACGACGAGTGTGAATTGATGATAAATTAAAATGGTGTTTTAATTTATCAATTTTGATTAGATCAAAATAATATTTCACGTCGTTAGACATCGTGATCGGGAACGTGATGTGTCACACACAAAAGAGAATTGAAAGATTGTAATTTGTCAATTAATTAATTTAACAATCGTTGGATAAATTAATTAATTGGGTTGGTTATTTATAGGTTTGAATTAATTAATTGGATTAATTAATTCACGGACCGGATTTAATTAAATATTGGACCGGACCGGACCAAACCCGTTTGGGCTTATATAAATACATGGCTAGGGTTTTCAATTTATAAGGTTTTTTATAATCATTCTTGCTCGCACAAGAGAAGAAAACCCGAGTAGCTACAATCTTGTTTTCTGTGTGGATCACCGTTGGAGGCTGGACAATTGGACAGCTGTAGGTGACGAATCAAGATTGCTAGAACGAAAAGAAAAGCAAGAGGTTGCAGAATTCTTCAAAGGTACAATCTTTATCACGATTTCTATCTAAACACAAAGGGATCCTCAATGAGAATCTAAATAATTTTAATTTTTCGCTGTGCATGTATAAGTATATTCTCAACAATGAGAAATATCAAGTGGTGTGACAAATTTTTTCGACTACTATGAAACTATTATCTCTTTGTCAACATAACCCTTTCTATTATAAGATATAGAGGTGTGTGAATCTTGATTTAGTTGATCATCTATCGTCTCACTCCTAAGTCAATTACTGTCGAAACTCTCTTTGACTTATGAACTCACTTTGATCAAGGATTTCGATATCAACTTAAGTTCATGAAACGTATGTCATAAACTTTTTATTACTTAAGAATGCAAATTTTTTGTTGATCATTCAAAACTTTCATATGATTATTGACATACCTAATTGACCTCCTCATATAAGGTACTGTGAGAACCTCAAGTCGAATGATTAACGAACGTTAGAGATTAACCACTGTAAGTGGATATAAAGAGAATAATTAAATGTCAAAAGATTGCTTCAGGTCCAAAGGGAATGGATATAAAGAGGAAGCAGTTATCGTGGCAACAAGCCAAAACTAGAACAAGATCGCACAAAAAGAGTAAAATTTTGACATTTTTATTTATGGATCATTGTCAATGATTTGTCACTGGGAGTTTTTGTTTATTGGGTCGGTTATGATTGGGAGGATTATTTCGTGCGAATTTGATTCTATATTGCAAGCAATCGAGTATTCATTAGTTCCAAGATATTTCAAGTTCTTTCTACGAATAAAGTTGAATTTGACTCAATTACGATAAATCTCATGTCTCGGGGCATAGGGAGAAGGGAGTCTAGCCCTTCCCCCAAGGCCCATTTAATTTTAATGTAAAAAAGAAATATACTTTTTTGGAAAAAAATTTCCCTATGTAACAGCTCAGTAGGGCCCTTTTTTTGCCTCCTCTGCTCATGTCCGACCCAACAAAAGGTCATGTGCATGAATAATGCGAAGCAGTTACCAGTTTACAATGAAAGGATCCAGTGCCCAATCCACATCGGGTGAAATGTTCTACTTTGTTTTGCCAACATACTTTGTCAATTTACTTTGGAGGCACATACAATTGAGAATTGTGTTTATAACTTCAAACGAAGAACCTATGTTTTATGTATGAACTGAAAGGGAGGTAATTCAAGTGGTTAGAAAGGCAACATGAAATTCTACTGAGTTTGATCTTGAAGTGACAATTTGCGCAAATAATATGTGAACAAAGGGAAGCTAAGACATGACCATCACAGTGATAAATAGTGTAGCTAAATACACTTTTAAATTTCATTAGGCTGCTACCAAACAATTATAAATTGAACAAATTACTCAAATCTGACTAGTCAAATGCTTTATTCAAACTGAACTTGGACAAAAAAATGAACCAAGCATGAATAACAGGGATGGATTTCATAACAAAATAATTCTTAAAGAATAAACAAAAGATATCAAAGATTACATGCTCCAATTTGCTTTGCATCCAACCCAGCTTCTTTTTCGTATTAAAAAATAATAATAAAAAAAATAAAAATAAATAAATAAAAGGGAGCAGCTTTCTGTAATGCTGGTGAATGTTGATTCTGCTCAATTTTGTTTATCGATCAAATAGCATATAACACAGATGAATATACGAGAGTCAAAATCTACCAGCTCAGTGCTGCTGCTGACATTGATAATCTGCTCTATCTATATTTTCCACCTACTCCCGTAGGGCCAAAGTTAAGTTTTACGAAGACGGGCTTTGTACATAGAGAGTGTTGCAGATCTAGCTATTTGTTGTGCCAACCTCGAACAAATGAAATAATCCTTCTTTCTCCAATCTTATTAACCATCTGCAAAAAGTCCAAATGAATAAACATTAATTCCAATTTGAGTTAAAAACTATGGGTCCATATAAGCGTGCTTTTTTTGGCAGCATATCCAAAAAAGCACCTCTTTAAGGTGCTTTCAAGCATACGCAAATATGATCTAAACCAATATTTGGAGAAGTTGACAATTCAGGTTTTAAATTGCATAGAACAAAAGAGCATGATATCTTTGAAAGGCAGGATAGTTACTTCTATATCTTAAAGTCTAAAGTCAAAGCTTTATGTTCCATTTTCAAATATTGAAAAAAAATGAAAATCTCTAAATTAGTGGTTCTACTTCATATTAGTAATGCCATGTAAACCGGGATTGGAGATAGCCAAATTTCCTTCGATCTTCATAGAGCATTAACAAGTAGCAGAATTAGCGTGCTAATAAGAGTTGAAAACATATAGAAAGGTCTTGAAGAATGTTTAAATAAATAAGATTCATATGAAACTTGTTAGTAACTTGCAAAAAACTTGAAGAACGTTTAAACAAATAAGATTCATATGAAACTTGTTAGTAACTTGCAAAAAACATTCCAAAATTAAGTTCAAACCTGGGCCACACTTTCAATGTAACCAGATCAACACCAGGTACAGTAGCCAATCCTTCATGTACCCAGGAAAATTAAAAAAGAAAAGTAATGTAAAGCTCCATGCACAACAGAAAGGTAAACATGCTCACCATATGATGGATCGACGTGGACAAAGAAACTTGCAGCAACAATGAGATAGCATAGAATAAGCATCAAACCTTTGAAATAGTTTGATGTTCCTTCCTGCATCAACATAAACAATAGTGTTGAAGTGATCACTAGGAAAGCTCCATTTCATTTCCAAGTGCTTGTCTGGGATAACTTAAAACTTGAAAAAATTGAGGTCAATGTGACCCATAACTTTCATTAACTTTTTAACCACACATTTCATTAATTTTTACCAAAATCTCCTAATTTTTTTAAGGAAAGGTTTGTCAAACAGCCCCTTAATATATGCACAAGAAAATAGATGTACATCTCATCCTACACTTCTCACATTTTTAAAGGAGGTATTGAGAAAAAACAATATCATTAGAAGATAATCTGATTGAAGTACTCCCATCTCCTCAAAGATTGAAAAGAGTTCTTCCACACACATTATATAAGCAACTTTGAATTACTCCACGTGGATGGTAGCCAGGAAGGGAGAAAGGGAAGAATCAAACCTGAAGCATAAATGCAACCACTATCACAGTGATAAATAGTGCAGCAGTTTCAAAGAGTTGGAAGTTCAAGTCCAGAGGCATCCCCATTATCCATCCAAAAATTACAACGAATGGTATCTGCATTTATGAGGATAAAAGCTTGCTAAACCATTCAGAAAGTGAACATTAACAATGATGACCAAAATAGATGCAAGGCATTACTACAAACATTGATATCTGAGTAGACGATCCAATCGCAACTCCAAGAGTGATATCCTGTAAAATGAAGAGTTAATTGAATTGAACCACAAAGAAGAAATTATTTCAGCAGCAGTCATGGTTTTCCAACTCACGAGCTTGTCCTTCATGGCAAAAATGATAGCACTTGCATATTCTGTAGCATTACCCACAATTGGAAGCAAAATGACACTAATAAAAGCCACTGGCATGTTCATCGACTCAGATGCTCCCTAAAAAATTACCAAAAACGAATTAAGATCAGTTGTTTAAACAATTGATGATCACTCAACGATGAAAATACAAAAGAACTCCCCATCAAATATGCAAAGTGGATTCACTTTCCAAAATAAATCTAAAAGGTGTAGTGCAGAATACAGTTTGAAAAGCAAGTGCAGGAAAAGAGTCCAGAGAACTGAAAGCGACGTGGTAAGATCAGCTGTTCAAAAAAATTGATGATCACCCAACAATTACAATACAAAAGAACTCCCATCCATTAAATATGCAAAGTGGATTCACTTTTCAAAATAAATCTAAAAGGTGTAGTGCAGAATGCAGTTCAAAAAGCAAGTGCAGGAAAAGAGTCCAGAGAAATAAAAGCTTGGATTTTATATGAAAGACAAAAGTAAGTAATGCAGAATGTATATTGTTAATAAATTTTGATTAAACACAGTGAAATGTTCCCTTTTCCTTTTATTTTTACCAGCCAGTGAAGCTTCCCAATTAACAACCGCTTGTAAGATCAGTAAAACCCATCCATATTGGCAATGCTTCTTCACAACCATTCAAATATTTTTGAAAAATGACGACATATTCTGCTTGCAATATAATGATCAAATAAAGTTAAGACAAAGAACAATGCGCACTAATTTTATGATCTTCATCAGTCACCCCTAATTTTTATGGCAATGAACAACAATTCAACATCAGAATTCTTATTTCAATAGTTGTATGGAGGCCATTAGTGGGTCAGCTTGACCGGGAGTGACTGGTTAGGCAGAGCTTCTGAGAAGTTAATCAAAGCTGAAGACAAAGGCTATTGTAACAAGGGAATGAAGGGCTGTGCTGTAAAGAAGTTCAATCTGAACATTCTCATATTCTCTCCCTCCCTCTTATAGGTATTATTACATGTAACAGAGGCTCTGAAACCTATGATGCTCAGGCTCGGGTACGTATTTTAGTGTCGGATCTTTTATTTTTTGGAACATAGGATATGAGAACATGGTTAAAAGGAGTCCAAATTTCGGACATGGGTACTGGGGTACGTCTTTGAAATTTCAAATTTTTTTTCCAAAAAATTCATGTAAAAAGTTAAATAATAATTAGTTGCAAATTGTTAAAAGACAAACATGTCACTCAAAAATCAGCTAGAAATTTATAATCAAAGTCTAAAACACCAGAAAAAAATAAATAAATAAATTGACATGACAAAGTACAAAATTAGTTATCTTATTTGTTTTAGAAAAAAAATTAATCTAGAACAAAAATAAATTGTTTTAGAATTTATTATTATTATTATTATTATTTTTCGGTTTTCGTATAAACATTTTAAAAAACGAAGAAACTAAAATTAATCAAAAATATTATTTAGCATAATTTTTTTTTAAAATTAAAATGGTCTTATCTAAATCAAAACAACTAAAAAGCATATTTAAGAAATAATACAACCAATAAGACTAAAAAAAAAAAAAAGAGAGAGAAAGAAGAGATAAATAAACCCAATTAATAAAACTTTTAAGCCGTAAATAAGCTTCAACCATAGTGGATTAAAAAAAAAAAAAAAAAAGGAAAAAAGAAAGCCCCAAAAAGGCCCAAAAGTAAAAGAAAAAGCAAAACAGGCCCGCCCAACTACGACACCCTCTTTCTTCTCCCCTAAACCGTGACTTTCTGCAACAATGGCAACAGCAGCAGGAAGTCCAACAGTGTCCACATCTGGTCGTGTCCCGTATTTTATACCCATACCTGTGTCGTGTCATGTGTCAACACGGGTATGCTGGCCAAAAAGAAGGGTCTGTGCATCACAGACCGAAACCTAGGAAAACCTCATAATTGTGCAATCTAATGATCCAAAGACTAATACGAAGCCAGTCTAATGCATATTTTAATAACATTTTTGCTATGTTTACAAATATAAGAGCAGAAGTATGATACAGTATAGCACAAACTTATGTCTAAAGTTATTCAAGAAAAAATTGGTGTTATTTTTACTTTTATCTATATTGCATGTCCATAATAAAAAAAAATCCTCTCAAACTAATGCATGCAGTAGAAAGGAAGCAACATGGTAAAATATCATGTAACTTTCTGCTAAGAAGTTATATAATATTTCAGAAAAATTAGCAAAAAAAAAGTTGTGCTTTAATGCAATATAAGAGTACCGAGTTTTTTTCATTGTCCATCCTTCTCTCTCTCTCTTTCTTTTTTTTTTTTTTTTTTTGGTGGGTGGGAGCTTGGGAGAGAATGTCGTATATAACCTGTATGGCATCAACCAGATACCCAGACAAAACTGATATCCAGAGTGTCAACACTGTGAACCACACAATTGCTTCCCACTGGGTAATCTCGGCAGCCTCTTCATCCGAATCTTCATCATTCTCCCTCAACTGTGACAAATGCTAGAGAAATTTAATCAGGTCAATGAAATCCATGGTCCAAATAAATCTTTCGCAAATGCACTTGTGCTACAAGAACTCAACACACTATCAATTTCTACAATGAATAAAAAAGAGTCTCACCTCATCAAGAGAACCATGCAGATTTGGTTGACTCTTGAGCTGAAAGAAAAGATAGCTTGCATATGCAATCAGCATTATGCAGCTACTAAATCTTGATAGAGCTAGCTCTGACCTGCCTAGATGCACTTCTGTATGAGTATGGTGCAGAACTGCTGGAAATAGTAAACCCATGACGGCCATTAATAACAAACCTAAGTTCACCAGGGCGTCAGCCTGTACATTTTTGACACATTAGCATTTCTGTACTCAGGTGGGGGGAGATCATTAAAAGGCCCAGCAGATTCTGCTCCCACGAACAAAGGAGAAAACATAAAGCAGGTGTTCAAGATTTCAATGGTAAATGTAAATGTCAGAATAGCATGATCCACCACCTTATTGAAATTCTGTACTTTCTGGTGATGAACCACCCCACCACAGAAGAAGGCACATCCAAGCACCAAAAGCATATTGGACAATATGGAACCCGATAATGACTGCTGAACGACCCTTAGCATCCCATTCTTCACTCCGTATATCGAAATTATCATCTCAGTAGCATTGCCAAAGATTGCGGTCAGGAGGGCCCCCACTGCAGTTTCAACAAAAAAGTATTGATGATAAAGTGAAATCTACTAGTCTAGAGAGGGGGAAAAAAACTCATTTTTCTATTTCTTATTTTCAACCACTCTCTCTCCAATAAAAAGATATTACACGTAAATTCAAAATTTTTCCTTACTTTTTAACCACACATTTAAAAAAAAAAAAAAAATCACTATTCCAAAATAAGTTTTCTTCAAAATTCTATTATAATGGAGCTCAAAGAAGAGATAAATATAATCATCTCTTTGTAATCATAGTGAGGTGAAAGTGCGTGTAGATCAAAAAATGTATAATCATCCTACTGGAAGTTTTTTGTGTAAATATTGGAAACATATGGAAAAATTATGAGACATGTTCGTAACAAAAGATCTGACACAAGTTGATTTCCAGCATACATCAAACATTCATGTTCCCAACTCCAGCTGAAAAGATATTTCCAAGTAAAACTACATCCCATTTGGTGAATAAGAGATGAGCACAGCCCGATAAGCAATAGAAATAATCAAGCATAACTAACAAGAGAAAATCCAACATCCTTTTTATCTCATTCAAAATGAATCATTTGGCATCTCTTAGAACGATATCTTAGCAGAGACTTTCGACAATCTCTTTTTTAATCTGCTCTAGGTCAAGTGAGTCAAATTGATTGAACAAGAAATGAAGAAAAGAATGGTGACCATCTCCTCTTCTCTGTTTCCTTGCTCAGACAAAATTGCTTAGTGAAAATCACATAATCTGTTATCATAGGATATAATTAATCAGCGCCAGCTTGACAATAATCAGTGGCAAAAGAATTGGGATAGAGCCAGGTGAGATTCTTTATTACAAACCCTACTGACCACTTAGGCCACCATTTAGCTGCCAAGAGTGGGGACAACGAGCAGGGTCCCCAACCCGTCCACCAAATTATGTTCACCATCTAGGGGCAAAAGTATGCAACTTGCATTGCATCTCCAATATTGCATCTACTGCAACTTCTCTAGAAATACTTTGAACAATAAAGTTTTTTGCATATCCTCCAAGCTTTTCTTCTAGGAAGTACGGATTCGGATACGTAATTCGAATATGATACGATAATTGTACACCGATAGAACTTCAAAAAAAAAAACAAAAAAAATCAGAATATCCTTAAATGTGCCAATTTCATTTTATTCAACATCACCAACATCAGCTTCTTCATTATCATTAAAAATAACTCTTCAACTCTAACTCATCTAATGATAGATTAACAATCTCAAGCAACCTATCACCTTCAAGAGTATAAAATGAGTCTCTGACAATATCCTACACTTTGAATTCTCTTTATTATATGTTATTATATCATAAAATATAATAAGATGAACATACGTACCATATACACTATAGGATGGCAGTTCATGGGGAAATTAACGCAAATAAAACATTAGTTCTTTCATGGAATATATTCCTCATGATATTGTAATGTCAAAAGCTCTAAGCAGGAGACTTTGAGCATCGATGGGCAACTTTGAAGTTAAATTTACTAACTTTAAAGAAGTAAGGAAAATAAGTGTAGATAACACTACCTGTAGGCCCCGTAAAAAATGCAAGCTGTCTGCAACGGAATGGTAAGCGCAGGAATATTATTTCATTTCAAAGAGAGAAGAAAATCAAAAATGTCATGCAAAAGCATAAAATCCACTTCAAAAACTCACTCAGTCACATAACCCAGACGCTCCACCGAAGAAGTAATTCCCACTAAGCAAAAGAAGAAGACAAATCCCTAAAATAAACAATGTCCAAAAGTTACACATACTGATGTTAAGAGGGAATGTATCAAAAACTTTTCAGCATAACCATTTTCCTAATGAATAGAACAGAGAAACAAAATTAGCAGGAGAATTTTATAGTCCTCACATGTTTCTTGCTAAGATAGTGCAACATTATTGCAATGGGCCCAAATGGAAGCAAAACGCTTATCTTTGCTTTGATTAAGACGATGTAGATACTCTTAAGCAGACTGATCTGCATCTTTCTTAAGCCTGATAAAGAGGAAACTTTTGAGGGTGAAATGACATCGTTTGCCTCAAAATTGAAAGATTGCCTTTTATTTGTTTTTGGAGTAGCGTTAAATGGGATCTCCTTGTCAGATTCAAGGTCGACCTTTTCCTCGATGGATTCCATGTCGACAGACCCAGGCAATTTGCCTGATAAACTGAAAATTGTACAACACATTTAAACACAATTTCTCTTAATATATGAGGCCATCAAATAGATCCACTCAACTCAATGTAATGATATATAATGCTCGACCATATGGATTAGAGTATTACTTCAACCGCAAAGGAAGTTCGAAATCAGCCCATCAGACAACAAAGATTCAACCTTAAAACTAATTTATGATCTTAAAAGTGCACAAGGCCCCTAATCGAAGACAGGAATACTGAGATCCAAACCAGAACTAATATAAACTTTACTAGCATTAAGATTTGAAAAATGGCCATATTGTCAAAATTGATAGTATTGGAGAAATGAGAAACTCTTTCCCTATCGAAGTCCAACATAGTCAACAAAGAAATGATAGTGTTTAACAAGCAAATGCCCCAGATCAATTTAAAAAAATAAAAAACTAAACTTACAGAAAATTCATATCGAACATTAAAACCAAGCATTTGATAACTGCTATTAAAGAAGCACAAAATACAACGTATACACACAAACTCAGATAAAAGATTCTTTCAAACAGAATTTACAGGAACCCAGAAGAATACAAAAAAGAGTAGCAGTTATCTTGAAAGCTCTACCTTTCTGAAGTAAAGATTCTTGCTTCTAACTGATCCAAAATTTTGAACCCACCAAATTATTAAAAGTTATATTAAGATAAATTTCTCGACATACATGCACGTATAGAGAGTAGTGGAAAATGTATAAAGGGAGGGACGTTTGTTTCAACAGATTTGAAAATAAGTCTGTGTTCTTGAGGTGGGATGGGGTGAATGCTGAATGACTTTAAGGGCCCGGCAGCAAGATGGTGGAGGAAGTTTCTGCAAAACATCGTCTGAGAATTACACAATTCTCAATTTCTGCGAAGCATCGTCTAACGCGCCATTCTCAATTTCATTTGTATTTTGATGAAGTCCTAGTTCTCGATGGTCGAGTATTAATTATGTGTTTAATTTAATTAATCTCTGAAGATTAGGGAGATTAGACTAGAAAAATATCTCGGCCTATGATCGATTAAAGATATTAGGAGGCCACCTCACTGTAGGAATCGGTCCCACATGAAAGAAAAAAAATTACGCCGAGGTCCTGTTGTCTAGCAGGGTGTACGCCTAGCACAATTCTTCATAATAAGCCCTATTTGACATCGACATAAGTTAGGCCATTTGTTATAGGGAAAACATCGCATTTTAGTTGTTATGTTTACCCCAATTGAAAATCAGATAAATAGGTTGAAAATTCAAAAATCGAGTATGCATTTAATTAATTAAAAATATTTATTAAATAAAAATAATAAAGTCACAATTCGATGATTAATAATCACAGATTCATAATTATAGATCACAAATTTGTTTACTGGTCACATATTGTCAAATTAATTGATCACAAATTATTTCGTGGTCACAAATAAAAAATTTTCTAGGTCACAATTATTTCGAGATCACAGATCATTCAAATTATGAGTCACATTTTATCTATGAGTCACATAGATCACAGCTTATTGGTCCAACAAACACCTAATAGTTAGTTACAAATCAACAAAATAGCTGGTCACAGACGTCTAAATAGATAGTCACAGACGCTTAATTATTGGTCACAGACACCTCACCCGTCACCATCATAGCCACCGCAACAACCATCACCACAATCATTAACAACACAACAATAGTTGGGCATCATCGTCTCCAGGATCAACATCACTTCACCAACATGAGCACACCGTCTCCTGCAACCACCATCATGAACAACAAAGTGCCGTAACACCACCACCGCACACCACACCACGCCACCCACAGCACACCACCACTACCATCACATCTATCTCCGTTTGCACCACACCCAATCACCACCCCCACCAAAGAATCCACAAACTCACTACCACCGCCACCACCACCACCACTACAGTGCATCGCCGTCTACCACCACACCATCGCCTGCACAGCACTACAGCTACCAACTCGCGCAGCCGCATTGCCACACCACACTGCCACCAAACCACACAATACCGCCAAATCAAACTCGTGTGACCAAATTGCCAAACCACACCACACCGCTTGCAATGAGCGCTGCAGCGAAAAAACCCAAACATAGACCTCACAAATACCGCCATCTAAAGTTGCGGTTGCAGTGGCCACTGTTGCATTGTCATCACCGCTGCAACGGCGAGATCTGAAACTACTACAACGCCATCATCTGTAGCGGTCAAGTGTTTATTGCGACATCCCCACCCAAAAAATCCTTAAAGCAATAGCTACACACACACTAGAAACACCACGACCGTACAACAAGACGCTCACGCCACAAGCAACGCCGCTCAAAATTGGCACTCCAATCACCATCGCAACCTCGTCGCCACAACCAGCACCAGTACCACCAACAAAATACACTCCAAAATCCCCAAAACGATGCCCCAAAAATATACGCTTGGAGAACACATCGGGGCTCAAATCTTCGCGACGATCTCGAAGCGCCGCTCATATCAAGTCTGGTATGGACTGCTGTCACTGTGTGTGTTTAGAGAGAGAAGAGAGAGACGGGAAATGGGCTTGAAATTGGTGGATATATTTATTAATACCTGATTTGTGCAAAAATAAATTTCACCCCGAATTTTGAATCTGAAAGTTTAAGTACCTGGTTTTTTGTAATTTCCACTTTGTTATATAAGATTATGCGTTACTTTTATAGAAGTACACCAATAGGAGTCTCGCTTGAATACAATTTTTAAGTTTAGTGATGAATTACAAATAAAGTGAAGTTTAGTGACTGATTTGAGACACAGATAAAAGTTCAATGACTGATTGACTTTTTTTAGTTTTTACCCCCAAAAGCATCATGTCAACAAGTTATTAGAATGATTTTAGACTGTTATGTAGAATTTTGAGAATAGAGTTTATGAAGAATGATATTTTTATTTTTTTTAGAATATTTGATTAAAAAGTATGAAAATATTATGAGTTAATGTAAGAAAATATTTTATTGAAAGAATGTATGATTGAAGATAAATTACGAAAAAAATGAAATATGAAGAATCTCTATCAAAGAGAGATTAGTTTATATAGAAAAATCCTCTAAATAGAATTATTTTTAATTATAATCCCTTCCCCAATATCAAGCAAATATATGAAACTTCGTGACCCAACATATATAAAGTATAAAATATGAAAAGATATCATTTTTTTTGTTGCAATCATTTTTATATTTCATATTCTTAATTATATGTTTATTTCACTCATTTATTTTATAGTTCATGTCCTTATATCTTCGTATTAGTATGTTTTGAATTTGATTTATCACTATACTACTTGTATAATTTAATACATCAATTGTTTTAGATAAACACGACAACGAGTTCTCTCAACTTCAATATTAAAAAATTGTAACATACATAAATTATATGTGACAAA